CGCTGCAGCTCCTCAAACATTGAACAAAATAAAACAAGTAAAAGCTTTTTTTTTTTTTTTTTTTTAAATCAGAGCACTAAAATAAGAGTAGAAAATGGCCTTTAAGAGAACTTTAAGAAAAAAAGTGAAGCTGAAATCCTTTCAAAAAAAGAGAGTTGCAGGAGGGCAGACAGTGTACAAAAACCTGCCAAAGGCAAATCAATTGAGAAAATGTACAGCACAGTTCATAAGATAGTTCAGTTTTGAGAATAAAAACCAACCTGTTTGTTCCTCAGTATCTTCATGTTTGTCTCTGAATGTTTCTTTAGTCTTCATGTCTTCACTCTCCTCTTTAATAAACTCCATCTTTATAATCGTGTCACATGGATCTCAGTCACGCGCGTCAGCGGGAGTTTTTCCTGTGTGTTTGAAAACTTTGTCCTGTTTAGATGAGAACAATTAACAGAAATTAAAAAAATTAAAACAAAATAAATCTCTGGGTGTGTCTCAATCAGCTCCCTAGTTCAGTAGTCAGTGCATTGGTAAGGGAGTCAGAGTGACAGTTAATGGACTTAAACAGGCCCGGATTAAGAACACATAGGGCCCTGGGGCTATAGCAAACCCAAGGGCCCCCCCCTTCAGAGTAGCCTTTCTTGGTGCCACAACGTTTTCTACCACAGGAATAATTTGTTTTTGTTTTGTTTTGTTTTTAAAAATCAAATCTCCAACACACAGAGATACAATGAGTATGCACACTAAATATTCCAGGCTACAACACATTAAAGGGGTCATATGGTGTCCCGGTTGGAGCGACGAGACATAAACATGAAAACCCATTATAAACGAGGCATTCGTTGCATCCAGTGGGGACATAATTACTGATTATAATGACTTATACTGTCTTTTTACGCGTTGCGTTGCATCGCGCCGCGTAAACATAAAACCATGTCTGCATTTGTGATCGGAGAAATGACAAACAACAAGCGCTACTCTACACTGCTCAAAACTTGAGTTCGATATTGAATCGAATCGAATTGCAAGCTTGTGAATGAGAATCGAATTGTGAAATTTATGTCAAAACCCAGCCCTAATACAAACTATAACAATGATAATCTCAGGTACTGATTATGTGCTTTATTCAATGCAAAAAGTGTCTAATGCGAGTTTTAATATAATTTTGCATGACATGTAAAATAAAAATACTGAAAACAACAGAGTTACCTCAGATATAAAAAATAAATTAAAGCAAACATGTACTTTAAAACTGTGAACACAATGCAAACCAACAAGTGTATTCCATAAAGATGGTGGTAGTCACTTAATATGTATTTTTAATAATGTTAAAAAGGTTTAGCCTAATATTTATAAATTAGATTATAAACTTGTCATTTCGTTGGGAGTGCAGTGAGTTTCTACGCTTCTAAATGGCTGTGGAATTTGATCGATTCGGTCAAGTCTGGTTAGGACACGGTTTAAGAGTGGAGGCATCTTATCGTGTTGCAAAGCTCATCGAAAAAGGCTATAAAACCTCACACAATTGGTGAAAATTAGACTGCCCGACACAAATAGCAGGTGTATTTACATTTTTTTGTAGGGGGCCGCAGAAACATATGTGTTTGGTCTTGTGGGCCGTGAGTTAAAAAATGTTGGGAAGCACTGGATTACAAGTTTAAAAATTGCTATTATTTTAAGGTTTTCATTACGACAGCAGCAACAACAAAAACACATCTGCAATTGTTTGTAAAAGTTGTCATTACACATTTGTGTTTGTTGTTCTCGTTGCATTTACACTGTTTTGAGCAGCAGGTCTCGTCAGCGAGCGCTTATTCGAGCGATTCGAATCACTGAATCATTTTGTGAAGCAACTGAATCTGGAGTTTCAAAAAGATCCGTTTCTCTTAACACAAATTGCCAGTAACTGGATTCGTGTTTACGATTATCTGAATCACTACTTAGGGATGCGCTTTACTCACACAAAATAACGTTCATTATTATATAAAATATTAGTGATGTGACATTCGCCACCGAGGCTTCGAAGCTTGTATAAAAAAAAACGAAGCGCTGTACCGGAGCTTGATTCGTTTCGCCAAAACCACGTGATCCGTGACGACCGAAGCCTCGTTTTCGCACACAACCACGTGAATGCTTCATATTCTGATTCAAATATCGCGAACCACTTGCGCAGTTTCAAGCGTCACTCACTTCTTTGATACGAATAAATCATAATACGAATAAATTTGCACGTGTAGTTTTGTGCATGTTCATTTTGTATTAATCCCCGCTTCACAATCACTTCAGCTGCGCATTCTATGATAATCTTCTTTTATTTTTATCATATATGCACATCATATATCCATTGTTGGGAAGGCTACTTTAGAAATGTAATAGGTTACAGATTACAAGTTACCCTATTTGAAATATAATAAGTAGTGTAACTATTTCAATTACTTTATTAAAGTAATGTAACTGATTACATTTGATTACTTTTTGAATAATTTTCTAAATTTCTAATAAATGTTTTCAACTGTTAGTCATTTTGAAACGTTTAAAGCAGGTTAACCTTACAGTAGCACTGATTGCTGTCAGACTTCTCAAAATCCTTCTTCACTTGAATTGAGATTATAATCATTTAATTTTAAAGCACAGCCGCCACAAAATCAGACTTTAACACCTCTTTTTTACTTTAAGATCGTTTTGAGATTAAATCCAGACTTAAAATCATAAGATAGCTGTGATGAAATCATGATTGAGAATCATTATTATACTCTTACACCTTTTGTTCTGTAATATTTTGAATTGTTTTATCTTTCTTTTTTGTTTTTCATTTAAATGTCAAGTTTTGAAATTTTGTTGTATGCTTTTATCATTTTTATTTCTATTTCAGTATTATTTTTAGCAATTTTA